TTGATTAATTGCTTCACATTTTCTCCACTACTGATCTCTGCGGCACTGCATTGTGACTTCACCACAGGCACAAGCCCTAGTCTACCATTCTATGTTTAAATGTTGTGAACGTTACACGTGTTCCTAATTTACAATCATGCCGGGCTCTAAATTGTACTTGACAGTGCTAATTTGTAGAGTTGAGCCTGGATCGATCCTGTACTCTTTATAGAGCTTGTTCAGGGACTTTAAAGATCTCATTAAAATGTCACTTACGGAAAAAGTACAATATATATATATCACCTGCATCTAAACATGAGACTTGAATATTTAAACATTGCGGGTAAGTTATAAGAAGGCTAGCATGACCAGAAAATATGAGGCAAAGGATTCCGTAGCTCTCTTCATACACTGAAATGATAAAAGCTTGGTTGAAAATGATTTGTGGCAAGATCACTAGAGGCACTGGATCTTAAATCATGACTGATGAATTTAAAAAGACATCTGTGACATGTAACATCCCCCTCTCACGGGTAAGAAGTTATACCTTCTGGCTCAGTGGCTAATAAGCACTCCCCGTTTAATTCATGGTTCTTTTGATGTCTTCACTTTATTTTAAGCAGGGCTAAAGTGAGGATAGAACTAACATTGTCTAAGCTTCAGGATCATTATGGCCCTAGTGCTGTTTTCACTATTCATGTTGAAGGGCCCTTGGTGGACTTCAACTCCCAGAGTTCCTCAGCCATCTTTGCTGAGTTGAAGTCCACCAGTCTTAAAGTTGCCAAGGCTGGAGACCCCTCTGCTTTGGAGGATAAATCGACACCCTCTTCCCTGGGACAGCCTTTGAAGCAGGAGTGAAATGCTACCGGTTCGCACCAGTTCAAACGAACTGGTAGTAATAAAAACTACCAGTTTGGGCGAACCGGTAGTAAAAAAAGCTACCAGTTCAGGCAAACCGGTAGTTAAAAAAGCTACCAGTTTGGGTGAACCAGTAGTTTAAAAAATGCTCTGGTATTTCTGATGATCAGCTGTGCTGCACGATTTATATCCTAAATCGTGCAGCACAGCTGTTCTCTCCTCCCCCCCCCTGCTGTTCTACTTACCTTAAGCCTTTTTTCACGCGCAGCGCACATTAGGCACACACTGTGCATACGTGTGCACAGTGCACATTTGGGGCACACCGCACATGCACGGGCAGCAAACCAGTGGCAAACCTTGGAGGATTTCACCACTGCTTTGAAGGTATCATGTCTCCCCCTAATCCTTCACTTCAATAGGCTAAACATACCTAATTGACTGCCAGCTGCCTACAATTTGGCAGTTCAAATCTCACCAGGCTCAAGGTTGACTCTGAATAATCTGAATTTTGATCATGTGACCAGAGGGATGCTGCAACGGTCACAAGAGTGAAAAATGGTCACAAGTCTTTTTTTTCCAGTGCCATTTTAACTTCAAATGGTAACTAAATGAACTGTTGTAAATCGAGGACTACCTGTACATATATTTAACCTATAGCACAGAATTTTTAAAGAGATAAAAGCACTCCGTTATTTCAACTCTGAGGAGGACTGCACCTTTATTATGAAAGCAATTATTTGCACTGCTTTCGTAATTACGTTATATGTTCTAATTATATGTCCACCACCTCCAGTTTGGAAATGTTACATACTTCTCGAGAAATGCTGTTTAGCTCTTTGAGAGACTTAACTTCTAAAGGGTGGGGAAATTTCAGAGGCTGCATTTTATTAAAATCACTAGAAACTCTGCCATTATTAGGTAATTAATTGGGCATCAAATCTCAGAAGTAAAAAATATGAGAGGCAGCCGGCAGTTAATTGACTGCCGGCTGCCTACAATTTGGCAGTTCAAATCTCACCAGGCTCAAGGTTGACTCAGCCTTCCATCCTTCTGAGGCCTGTAAAATGAGGACCCAGTTTGTTGGGGGCAATAGGCTGACTCTGTAAACCGCTTAGAGAGGGCTGTAAAAGAACTATGAAGCAGTATATAAGTCTAAGTGCTATTGCTAGTTCCCTGATAATTTCATCACCCGACTTCAGCAGTGAAATGGCAGGTTAACAAAAGGCTGCATAAGGGACATAGGGTGTCCTTGTGCATCTCAATGTGATGGTAATATTTTCCCTATGCTAAATAATACTTACATGGCCCTTCCACAAAATGAGATTAAAAATTGATTAATTGCTTCACATTTTCTCCACTACTGATCTCTGCGGCACTGCATTGTGACTTCACCACAGGCACAAGCCCTAGTCTACCATTCTATGTTTAAATGTTGTGAACGTTACACGTGTTCCTAATTTACAATCATGCCGGGCTCTAAATTGTACTTGACAGTGCTAATTTGTAGAGTTGAGCCTGGATCGATCCTGTACTCTTTATAGAGCTTGTTCAGGGACTTTAAAGATCTCATTAAAATGTCACTTACGGAAAAAGTACAATATATATATATCACCTGCATCTAAACATGAGACTTGAATATTTAAACATTGCGGGTAAGTTATAAGAAGGCTAGCATGACCAGAAAATATGAGGCAAAGGATTCCGTAGCTCTCTTCATACACTGAAATGATAAAAGCTTGGTTGAAAATGATTTGTGGCAAGATCACTAGAGGCACTGGATCTTTAATGAAATGCCTGCAAGAAAACAACCAAACTCAGAGAGCGCCAAGGATCCCTCATTGTGGCAGCTCCTGCCCTCTGGAACGATTTGCCCCCGGAGATACGAAGGATATCGGATCTCCGGGTCTTTCGCCGTGCCCTGAAAACTTTTCTTTTCCATCAAGCAGGGCTGGTGTGAACCCCCTCCCCCTTTTTTAGTCTTTTTTAATTTTTTTAGTTTTAAATTGTCATTGGGTATTAATTGAATTGTTTTAAATTGGGCCAGTTATGTAATTCTTTTAACAATTTTAAATTTTGTATTGGCATGTGTTTTAGTTCTGGCTGTTCACCGCCCTGAGTCCACTAGGAGAAGGGCGGTATACAAATTGAAATAAATAAATAAATAAATTTCAAATCGGAGCTACATACCATACTTACAACTAGACACAAGAACAGTTTTTCCCCCAACGCCATCACTCTGCTAAACAAATAATTCCCTCAACACTGTCAAACTAGTTACTAAGTCTGCACTACTATTAAACTTCTCATTATTCCTATCACCCATCTCCTCCCACTTATGACTGTATGACTTTGTTGCTGGTATCCTTAAGATTTATATTGACTGTTTCCCTATGACTATCATTAAGTGTTGTACCTTATGATTCTTGGCGAATGTATCTTTTCTTTTATGTACTCCGAGAGCGTATGCCCCAAGACAAATTCCTTGTGTGTCCAATCATACTTGGCCAATAAAGAATTCTATTCTATTCTATTCTATTCTATTCTATTCTATTCTATTCTATTCTATTCTACTTTCTCTCCTATTAGTACTATTAATTATTATCTGAATTTTTAAAGGAGCGTTTTATCTTTTTGATTTTATTATATTATAACCTCCTTGAAATTTCTTGCCACAGGATAGCCTAAATTAATATTTGCCTATTGAAAAACTGCCACAATCCACCACTAGGGGATGGTAGCTTAGTATGGATTCAAAACTGAGGTATTTGTGTTTTTTGAGCTTTGAAGGGTCTGTATGGATTCATCCTATCCAATGAACACAGCCATGCACCCCAGCAGCTTGTGACACCATAAAAGTTATCCTAGCCTTCCTCGTAATATTAGCATCATTCTCATTTTAAAGAAAATAGACTGCTAAGCACAAGGTCACCACCTTAGTTCTCTTGTTATTTTAATATTATACATGCAGACAAACTCACACACATCAGAAACAAAGGTAGAGTTAAATTTAGGACTGGATACAGACTAAATCAACTGAACCTGATTCACACCCAAAGCAGTAAACTATGCTTTAACTCCACTTGATTTGAATTAGAACTGAATCCAGGTAGTCCTTGACTTATGACCACAACTGAGCCCCAAATTTTTCAGGGGTGAAATGCTCCCAGTTCGGACTGGGCAGTGGGTGGTTCGGAAGACCGGTAGCAAAAATCCCTGCGCCCCTCTCCACCCCCCACATGCCCAGCTGAGCCACGCGATCATCAGAGGCTTTTTTTTTTTCACTTTTAAAGCCATTTTTTCTACCACTTCTTCGGCTGAAAAAATGCTTTTAAAAGTAAAAAAAAAAGCCTCTGATGATCGCGCGGCTCAGCTGGGATCGTCAGAGGCTTTTAAAAGCATTTTTTTTACAACCTCTTGAGGTTGTAGAAAAAATGGTTTTAAAAGAAAGAAAAGCCTCTGACGATCAGGCAACTCAGCTGGGATTGTCAGAGGCTTTTAAAAGCATTTTTTTTTACAACCTCTTCAGCTGAATGGTTTTAAAAGTAAAAAAAAAAAAAAGTTGGCCCTGCCCACCCAGTCATATTACACCCCCGCCCCCCAAAAACCATGCCCACAGAACCGGTAGTAACAAATTTTACATTTCACCACTGCTCATAATACATGAAGAAGACATCAAATTGAGGAAAGCTGAGTTACTTGTTCAAAGCAAGATTCCTTTTGTTACTTAAATTAGTAATCTCAAAGGTCCAGTATTGGGGAATGATTCTGGGAATGGACCTTCCCACAGAGATATGGGGATAACCAGAGCTTGTATTCAGCCTGTTCGGACTGGTTTGGGCAAACTGGTAGTGGCGATGCGGGTGGGCCCGCCCCGCCCCGCCCTGCCCTGCCCTGCCCTGCCCCTGGCCAGGGCATAAAGACATCCTATTTAGCCATGTTTTTGAGGCTGGGCGCATGCACGGCAGGTACACATACAAGCAAAGCGCATGTGCAGAAGGACGGGCACATGCGTGGAAGGCACGCAAGCACGTGAAGCAAGCGTGTGGTAAGCATTTCTGAAACCCACCGCTGGTGCTGACCACTGAAATCTACCTCGAGTCACATCAGACAAAAGGAAAGGGATCTTACTGTAGGTTTAAAAATAAATCTAAAGAAAGACTTACCACTAAAGTGAAGTTGTGAACAAGTGCACAGAGAATGAATGATGTTGATGACCAGGCCGTGGGTGGAAGCTCTGAGAGAAAGAGGACCGGTGGCCACCAACAGAGTAACAACGTGGAAGAGGTAGGGGAGATGTGCGGCCACATCGAGGGAGTTGTTAAAAGACAGCATCAGCATGTAACGGGCTAGAATGGCAATGTCATCCCACATGAGGTGCTGCTCTAACGTAGCCGTTGGAGAGAGACAGGTCTTGTCGATTATCTTGCACATCCGTCCGATTACCTGGAAGGGAACAACCAGTCGAGTTAGAAGGTGTGTGCTTTAGACACCAAAACAAAAAACTGTCTTTAGGAACATGAGGATCTTAAGTCACCGTCTCTAATCAAGGAAGAAATGAGGTGGAAGAATCCATCTAAGTCTTCTCAAGGGGAAAAGGCGTCACAGAAATTTTGCTGCATTTTGATAAAGACTCTCAAGTTATCTTGAGGGCCGGTTTTCTTTCTCATTATTAATATGGATATAATAAAGTCCTGAGAACCTATTAAGTACCACCTCTCATTCCTTTGAGCCATCTCTCAACACTCACTTCTTCCAGGAAGCGAGTAGAGTAGAGTAGAGTAGAGTAGAGTAGAGTAGAGTAGAGTAGAGTAGAATAGAATAGTATGGAATGGAATGGAATGGAATGGAATGGAATGGAATAGAATAGAATAGAATAGAATAGAATAGAATAGAATAGAATAGAATAGAATAGAATAGAATAGAATAGAATAGAATTCTTTATTGGCCAAGTGTGATTGGACACACAAGGAATTTGTCTTTGGTGCATATGCTCTCAGTGGATGTAAAGAAAAAATAAAATATATTCGTCAAGAATCATAAGATGCAACACTTCAATTGTAGGCTTCATTTAAAAAATATATCTGTAATGAGGAACAGATTAAGATTTTCCCACTGAGAACAAACTCTTTCCCCCATATATGAAATCCTATATTGATGAGGACAATGATCAAACGAAGAACTCAGAAATTTAGGAAGATCGTATGTCCTCGACCTATGACTGCAATGGTCCCTGCCCATTATCATTGCATGTCATAACGGTCATGTGACTGACCTGATTTTACCACCATTTTTGCAGATAGCTCTCAAGCAAATCACTGTGATCCCCCCCAATCAAGCGAATCCAGTTAATAGTTTGCTATGAGCATCATTTTGACAAAAATTGGAAGTGCCCATTTTAGGCAAAACCGTCATAAAATGTAGCCACATGACTGCCAGATGCTACGAACGGCTCTGTGGCTGAATGCCCAGAGTTCTATCACATGACTTCAGAGGGGGCCTGATTGAACTTCGAATCCATGTTGTAAGTCCCTTTTTGCGTCAGTCGCAACTTTGAACAGTTGCTAAGTAACCAGTCACAGGTTCCTGGAATACTGTCACTTATTCTATTTCATCCTGTTAAATTTGTGTGCTACCCAGAGTGGTCAAGAAGTTAGATAGCTTTAGAAATGGGAAATTAAAATGAATGATAAATCAAATAAGCTATTGGGAAAAGTTTCCAAAGAACTTAGATGTTACTGTATTTATGGAGATTCTCAGTCCTCCAGGTTATGATTGTCCCAAAGGTGCTTTTTCAAGAGGCAACTGGACTTTCTGGTTTTTCTTTGAAGATGTTTCACTTCTCATCAAAGGAAGCTTCTTCAGTGCTTCTTCTTGGACGAGAAGCGAAGTGTCTTCAAAGAAAAACCAGAAAGTCCAGTTGCCTCTTGAAAAAGCACCTTTGGGATGTTACTGTATTGTGACTGGCTGAATGGCCAACCAAGCACCCTGAGTGGTTTAGTGCACCCTGTTATTAACACAGCTGCCTGCAATTTCTGCTGGTTCGAATCTCTCCAAGGCTCAAGGTTGACTCAGCCTTCCATCCTTTCTAAGGTAGGTGAAATGAGGACCCAGTTTGTGGGGGCAATAAGCTGACTTTGTATAAAATATACGGAAGTATGAAGGCTATTGCTTAACGCATTGTAAGCCGCCCTGAGTCTCCGGTGAAGGGCGGCATATAAATCAAATTAAAAAAAAAAAAAGCAGCATTTCAAGAGCTACTCCATCAACAGCCTGGAAATCCAGTTTCAGTTTACAGAGAACAATAGATTTCTTTGAAGCTGTTCTTGTGGAGAAGAGTAACTAGGTAAAAAAATCCAATGAATGTGATCGACAACATTGAAATTGAATACTTTTACATGCACTCTTGACGTCAGCTCACAACAGAGTCCGCTAACGCCTTAAAGCTGTGCTTCTGAGCTTCCCCGAATTATATAACTGCTGGCTACAGTATCATGCACTGACCAGCGGAATCATATTATTTTTGCTGTATTATAAAAAGCTAGTCCTTGACTTACAACCACAATTGAGCCCAAAATTTACATTGCTAAGCGAGACATTTGTTAAGTGAGTTTTGCCCCATTTTACAACCTTTCTTGCCACAGTTGTTAAGTGAATCACTGCAGTTGCTAAGTTAGTACCATGGTTGTTAAGTGAACCTGGCTCCCCCATTGACTTTGTCAGAAGGTCTCACAAAAAGGGGATCACATGACCCCAGGATTTTACAACCGTCATAAAGATGAGTCAGCTGCTAAGTGTCTGAATTTTGATCATGTGACCATGGAGATGCTGCAACCGCTGTAAGTGTGTCGCGATGGGTGAATAGGCGGCAATATCATTCATTCATTCATTCAATCAATCAATCAGTCACTTTTTTCAATGCTGTTGTAACCTTGAATAGTCACTAAGCGAAGTGTTGTAAATCGAGGACTACCTGTAATATTTTTCAATATGGATGTCGTTTTGTACCATTCAGTTAGCACTTTCCCTACTATCTGAAAAAAGGACACGTGAAGAAGGAGAAAGAAATACCACTGACTGATTTCCATCCACGTCTGAAGAGATTAACTAGTTAAATTCAAGAGGAAAATGCTTACTTTGCTGGAAACCAGCTTCACGTTTCCAGAAGCCAGAGCAACAGCTGTATCTGCCATGACTTCTGCTTTGATGGACCCCAGTCCTCCTGTGGCACTGGTTTTGATAAAACTGTCCAACACCACATCAAGTAGATCAGTTATCTGTCGAAAAGGCAAGAAAACTGCTGTGGTCAAGAACAGAATAACAAAATAACCCGTGGTTGAGCTGTGGTGGTGCAGTGGTTAGAGTGCAGTACTGTAGGCTACTTCTGCTGACTGCTGGCTGGCTGCAATTTAGCAGTGTTCAGATATCTCAGGGGCTGCCACAAAGAAGAGGGGGTCAAATTATTCTCCAAAGCACCTGAGGGCAGGACAAGAGGTAATGGGCGGAAACTAATCAAGGAGAGAAGCAACCTAGAACTAAGGAGAAATTTCCTGACAGTTAGAACAATTAATCAGTGGAACAACTTGCCTTTGGAAGTTTTAATGCTCCAACACTGGAAGTTTTTAAGAGGAGATTAGATAACCATTTGTCAGAAGTGGTGTAGGGTTTCCTGCCTAAGCAGTGGGTTGGACTAGAAGACCTCTAAGGTCCCTTCCAACTCTTCTCTTCTCTTCTCTTCTCTTCTCTTCTCCTCCCTTCCCCTCTCCTCACCAGGCTCAAGGTTGACTCAGCCTTCCATCCTTCCGAGGTGAGTAAAATGAGGACCCAGATTGTTGGGGGCAAGATGCTGACTCTGTGAACTGCTTAGAGAGGGCTATAAAAGCACTGTACAGTGGTATATAAGTCTAAGTGCTGTTGCTTATAACAGAGTTGGAAGGGACCTTGGAGGTTTTCTAATCCAACCCCCTGCTCAGACATGAAACCCTATGCCATTTCAGACAAATGGTTGTCCAATTTCTTCTTTAAAACTTTTGCTTTTGATGATAATAATGATGATTTTGATGATTATCATTTTGCTGATGATAATCTTGGTGTTAATCTATGCCAGAGGTGGGCAAATGTGGCCCTTTTACAACCGGTGGACTTCAACTCCCAGAATTCCTGAGACAGCTTGGCTGCCTCAGGAATTCTGGGAGTTGAAGTCCACCGGTTGTAAAAGGGCCACATTTGCTCACCCCTGATCTATGCTCATCTGGGTATTGTAAGTAGCTTCTTGCTAGCATCATTCAGTTAAATGCCTATCAAAAGGTTGAGTCACATATATAACAGTAAACCACCTAGAGCCACCTCTGTAGGTTGGTGGCATAAGTTTGATAATAAATAAATACACAAATAATCTGGTGTTCTGAAGGTTTAATTATATAGAAACATTCCTTGGATTAAAATTAAGCATGAATATAGACAATTTTAATTTTTCTAAATGTTTTTGTCACTTTTATCATAAGAAAATGGGTAAGTGCCAAGAGCCCTCTAAAATAATGAGATAAAATGAGTACATTCTTTAATCAGATAGCCTAACCCAGACCTTTGTGAATTTCACCCATGAAAATAATAATAAAAAAAGCTTTCCACAACTGTGTGAAGCTGGAAGGTTGATTTTGACAGAAATGCCAAGTTTTTCTGCACATAAAATTTGATTCATTTACCAGCTTATTATCAACAAAAGCCTTGAAAGATAAATCCAAATAACCACCATAGTAATGTTTAAAAGATATTTAATAGTTTACTCTGAACAGGGAAAAAGAGGACAGTGTGGGGTAATAGCTCTGGACCTGAGGAGACCCAAATCCTCCCTTAGGCATGGAAACCCGAGCTACTTTCTTAAGAGCCAGTGTGGTTACGGTAGTAGATAGAGTGGGAAGAGGGATGCAGGATATGACCAGGCTGAGCCCGAGGGACAAGTCAAATGCATCTTCAATCTTGAGTTCTTTCCCACTCACAAGAGATCGGAGTCCAGTCCACCTTGAATTCCATTTTGAATTCCTATCTAGAACCACTCTGCTTTTACTGTTAGTAGTTCAGATTCTTGTAGAGACATTAGCACACTATCTTCATTGGAACTGCCTGGCTCCTGATTTCCTATGCTGGATGATGCAGGTTCTAGTCCTCCCTTACGCACAGAAACTGGCCGGGTGACCTTGGTCCAATCCTTTCCTTTTGGCCCAAGTCAGTGTCAGGCTCTGCAACCAGCCAGTTCATAAATAAGAGCACTTATCTTATCGGGTAATAAGCTTTGTTGAAAAAAAACTAGGTGACACTGCAGAAACCAGAAGACCCTACAATAACTTTGTGCTTTCAATAACTTCACCAGGACATGGCAGAAACGTTTTTTGGGGAGGATATTAATCTTGCACTGTCAAGTACAGGATATAGTAGAAAACATATTGTTTATTCTTCAACCAAAAACTGAGAGGGGGGGGGGAATCAATCAAAAACAGTACCTGTCCCAAACTACCCCATATCTTGGCTTGAATGGAAGGATACATCTGCTTCTCATTTATTGTCATTGTTATAAGCTTATCAAGAATCGCTGTGACTCGCTGGCGCCGAGCATCATCGTTATGTTTGCAGAAGCGGACCAGATTCAATAACCAGGGGGTCATATATTCCAGGCAGAGATGTTTTAGTTCAATACCTGAAATTCAAATAAACAAAGAGAGACATATTAGAAAAGAGTCTTGTGTAAACGTTTGCCCAATCATCTTTTGGAACAAAGCTTGGAAGTTATTTGTGTTTGTGTGGTGGTGGTGGTGGGAAACAAAGTATACTAGAAAGACAGCAAATAAGGATTCTCTTTGCCAAGAGGTCCTGGATTAGTGATGTCCAGGCCCCCATTCTTGAAAGGCAAGTAGGCCTTTCAAGATCAAAAGTAGTGTGAGATACGATGCTGAATGACAAAAGAAACTAACAACATCGCTTAGGTCTTCTGCAATGAACCCAAATGGGTCTTGGGCTGCAGATCAAAGGCAGGGCACCTTCAAACACAACCACACATATAACCAGACTTCATGGATAAGACTCTCCAAATATTAGCAGAGCTGACAGCACACTTTTGACTTTGTAATCTGTGTTGAATTCCTTCAGCAAGTTCAAGAAGAGAGACCTTTTTCATGGTCGTTTCCCAACAGACAGTTGTTTTGAGTGGGGAGATGTGCCCGGGGCAAAGGAATCCTGGTTCTTCCCCTTACCTTGGACCATATCAAATAATTTCCCCAACAATACCAGCAAACAAGCCAGACAGGTTTGTTTGTTTGTTTAAATTTCTCACACCCGTTCCATGATCCTCTAAATCTCCCGTCTTCTCAGTGAGTCTGAATTGTAAGCACCGGGGAAGAGAGTTCTTTTCCTTTTCCACCCACGCTTCCCACTGGAAGAGCAGAAGTGGATGTCAGGTGGGAGGGTTGGAATTTATTTTGAGCTTACAGACTCATGCTTGCTGGGGGGGGGGGGAGAGAAAGAGAGAGACAGAGAGGCTTCTACAACAACTTGGACCAGAAGAAAATGAGCAGGTGATTAATTCATTATCTCAATGAAAGCAGCATGCATCACGACTTCTCAAATTCCATGTCCTGGATTGAGGAATGCAAATTTTCAGCAATGTATTTCCTTGGGTGTTGGCCAAGCTTGAATATGATTCAAAACCTGTATCCCAAGTCTTAAATTCAGCCCCCACCCCCAAGATGGCATTTCTGAACATCCTCTTGTGCCCCTTCTTTTATTTCACCTCGTATTTTATTTATTTATTGAGAACATTTATATGGCTGCCCAACTCACGGTGACCACAGGTGACTTGCAGAAACAAAACCCCAGGAAGATCAAGATCATTACACGGGTTCACCAGGGAGGCCACGCTTAAGGACCACCTAAGTAAAGGATTTAGGAGCAACAATTTTTAATGATCTCTGCCTATGCACCTAACAAGCCAATCAGATTAGCTGAGAAATGAAACCATTCTGGAGACATATATGGGGTCCCCTTAATCAATTTGCTCAGACTGAAGAAGCTACTAGGATAAGCCCAAAGGTGCTTTTTCAGGAGGCAGCTGGACTTTCTTGTTTTTTCTTTTGAAGACATTTCGCTTCTCATCCAAGAAGCTTCTTCAGCTCTGGCAGGAGAGTGGGGTACGGAAGGATATTCCTCTATCCTGCCAGAGCTGAAGAAGCTTCTTGGATGAGAAGCGAAATGTCTTCAAAAGAAAAAAACAAGAAAGTCCAGTTGCCTCCTGAAAAAGCACCTTTGGGACAGCCATGACCTGGATGACTGAGAATCTCTACAGCGAAATGTTTCAAACGAAAAAGAAAGGAAGTTGCCATGACTCAACTTCTAGACTCTTTTAAAGAAACAGAGTTAAGAAACTGTATGTTGCAGAAAAAGTTCTTTCTGCTTCATCCGAGTTAGCATGCCTCTTGCCATCCTGACTAGGGAATTCTGGGAGTTGAAGTCCACACATCCTCAAGTGGTCAAGGCTGAGAAACACTGCACTAAGCACTTCAATAATTCTGTCTACCCATAGATTTTTTTTTTTTAACGGGAGCAGAGATTACATTTCCATATGTACAGTAAAAGAGATGGGGCCTATGCTGTTTTTAATGTGGTGCCGGATTTGTAGAATTAATTCAGGGTTTCCAAAAATGTGTTTTGCTCTCCCTCTTCAGGGTTTTTTAAAGAACAGTTCTCATATTTCCATGTAAATCTGCCTTTTACTAATTGCTGCACTCATGGAGTCACTAAAACTCTGAACTTCATTGAGTATGTGCCATGGGTATGTTGCCTACATACACACTTCTCCAACTCTCCAACTGTACATTTTTCATGTAATGCCTTCATTTTTATTGCATTATTGCCACACCCTCTCCCACCTGGCAATAGCCACCCTTGTGCTACAACAGCTCCTTTACACACTTACTGGCCTGCTTGAGAACTGTCTGGGACTTCTGACTTTCTCCTGGCTTCCCCATCGACTTTGCTTGCTGGAGGCTGTCAGGAAGTTGCCAGGAGGTCTTTACTTAATGACTCACGATCCTCGCTTAATGACAACAATGGATATTGCCAGGATTGCCGTTGCTAAGCAATGTGATCATGGGACCTCACACTTTTTGATTGCATTTGCTTAGTGGCAGAAATTCTGGCTCCAATTATCATCGTTAAGTGAGGATTCCTTGTATTATTATGAACTGTTTTTTAATATATCCACCCCTCCCATTTATCCCTAATATCTGCGCTGCTGACTTCCTCATTGGAGATGTCAAGCGATACTAGTTATTTACCTTGTATAAACAGGAAAAGTGAGGTAATATTACTTACTAGACTTGCTAAATCCAGAAATGCATTCTTCCAAAAACTCTAGGGTAAGGTGGGGTTCGTTAGCTGCCAGAGTCTTACTAATGGAGACAATGAAAAGAGTGTTGTTTGCAGGGATACAGAGACCTGACGTTTCCAGTAATTGGCCTTCAATCTTTAAATTAAAAGTACAAGTTAAGGCACAGAGAAGATTATAGGCCGCAGACCTGCAACAAAAAATAAGGAATGCGTTAAAAAACGTTTCCTTGGTGAAGTCCAGAAAGTCTTATGTTCAGAAGCCTATTTCTTTCATTCTTTCATTCATTCATTCATTCAATCAATCAATCAATCAATCAATCAATCAATCAATCAATTTCTATAGCTGTCCAACTCAACCAAGTGATTTCTTAACATTGATATCAACATATTTGGCCTGTGATCCCCCCAAAATCGACTCAAGAGTCTTATTTGGTCAGCCATAGGAACCTCTCTCCATTAGGTGATGATGAAATCTACATAAAACTAACAGGTGAGAGGTTACAGGTAGTCCTCAACTTACAACAGTTCATTTAGTGACCACTCAAAATTTCAGCAGCCAAAAAAGTGACTTTTGACTGTTTTTCACAGCGTCCCCGTGGTCACGTGATCCAAATTCAGACGCTTGGCAACTGACTCATATTTATGACGGTTGCAGCGTCCCAGGTTCATAGGATCCCCTTTTGTGAACTTCGCTTAACCAGATTCACTTAACAGCCATGTTACTAACTTAACAACCGCAATGATTCACTTTAACAACCGTGGCAAGAAAAGTCGCAACATGGAGCAAAACTCACTGAACTTGTCTCCCGTAGCAACAGAAATTCTGGGCTCAATTGTGGTCGTAAGTCGAGGACCGCCTGTCACATCATTTTAAGAAAAACTGCATTGCTCTATTTGAGATGATATATACAAACACTTTTCTTGGCATTACCTTAAAACAGGCATTTCCTCCTGGGAGATGAAAGAGCGAGGGGGGTGGGGTGAGAAATGTCTCTTTTGAAGGGTGCCAGCAAACCTACCTGCTTTTCTTTTTTTTTTTTTAAGTATTTGTATTCAGTAGAATAAAAACGATTTTAAAAACATGCTAATCGATTAATCAGAACCAGCTTTTCAGTTCATCACAATGCTTCCAAACTGGGTAATCTGACTTGAGTCATAAAAATCAGTGAAGGCATGAATTGGATGCATGTCCCCCTCCCGCCCTCCCAAAATACACTTTACAGAATCAGTTTTCAGTGAAAGGAAAACAAATTATGCACAGGTAGTCCTCGACTTACAAACAGTCCGCATAGTGACCGTTCGAAAGTTACAACGGCACTGAAAGAAGTGACCTATGACCATTTTTCGCACTTATGACCGTTGCAGCATCCCCATGGTCACGTGATTGACATTCGAATGCTTGAGAACTGACTCACATTTATGACGTTATGTGATCCCCTTTTGCGACCTTCTGAGAAGCAAAGTGAATGGGAAAGCCAGATTCACTTAACAAATGTGGCACGAAAAATTGTAAAATGGGGCAAAACTAAAATTCTCACTTAGCAACATAAATTTGGGGCTCAATTGTGGCCATAAGTTGAGGACTACCTGTAATAGGGAGAAAAAGGCAGGGGAAAATAATCAGCCTCAAAATCGAGTTAAGGAAAGCAAAGAATCTGGAAGAGATTCAAGACCAACACACCTTTAGTTTCTATACAGGTAGTTCTCGACTTACAACCATCCATTTAACGACCTTCCAAAGCTACAAGGGCACCGAAGAAAGTGATTTATGACCAGTTCTCACACTTATGACCATTGCAGCATCGCCACAGTTATGTGATCAAACTTTGGGGGCTTCACAATCAGCACATATATTAAAAGATTTAATTTATCGCATTTCTATGCCGCCCAACTCCCAAGGGACTCAAATGGTCACAGCATGTTTTGGGATTGTTATTTTCAAACTTCCTAGGGAACTTCTGATAAGCAAAGTCAATGGGGGAAACCAGATTGGCCTTACATGTATGATTCACTTAACAGCTGTAGCGATTCGTAGTTTAACAACCATGGCACAAAGGTCACAAAACGGGGCACAACTCACCTATCACCTGCCTTGCTTAGCAATGGAAAGTTTGGGCTCAATTGTGGTCATAAATCGAGACTACCTGCAGCCGGACTCATTCGAAATGAAGCCTCAAAATCCCTCCACAAACGAAAGCGAGACGTACCGTAGACTTGGGTCCGAGCTCCCTAGATTAAGCAGTGCGATGTTCAGCAGGGTTCCTGGCACATCCTTGGGACGGATTTTCGTATGTTGCGGTATAGAGTCGGGCTGGGATAATTCCCATCGTGTCCGTATATGAATGATGGACTGTACAATAGCTTCGCACTCCTGGTGCATGAAAGTCAGAGGTGTGCCTTGGTTGGCAATGGTTAAGGTGAACTGGTTCTCATCCACCAGGCAGATTTCTTCTATTTCCGAAGCGTAGTAAATGTCATTCAGGAACACGGTCTGGCCCAGGACTCTGGTGCGCTCAGCTGAAGTCACTTGGACAGCTGTGGAGCCAACCTGTGGAAGGCATTGAGTTTGGGTGGGAGAAAAGAAAATCAAGGCACCCCAAGTAGCATCAACTATGGCAGGGGTGTCCAACATGGCAACTTTAAGACTTGTGGACTTCAACTCCTAGAATTCTCCAGCCAGCCCTTCTGGGAACTGAAGTCCACAAGTCTTATAGTTGCCAAGGTTGGACAACCCCTAAGTTATGGTACTCCCTTACAGAGATAAAAGGGAATCCCACTCCCCCCCGGCAATAGGCTTTAATATTCTTTTGAAATGTTTTGAAAATGGCAGGATGGCAACCAATACAATAGGAAGGGACATCTTTTATTGTTACAATATTTATAATCATCTGGAATCCAAAATCAGTCCTTCTTAAGCAGGGGTGTCAAACTCGATCCTATCACGAGGCCACGTTTTGCCCATGGAGGGCTGGGGTGGGCGTGGCCTGGTCATCGCAGCCAACTGGGTGGGTGTGGCCGGGTACCCGTTCTTAAGGATCAGCGTTTTTCAAGTAGAAAATACATGACTATTTCATCTAACTTACTCCAGCTAGCTAATAAGTTAAAGCGACAGTCACTGAAAGTTATGCAAAATGTGGGCAAGAAATTTGTGTATAATATTAGGTCAAGTCTGTCCAGTTGTGTCCAACTTTAGGGCAAAGTCCTCATCTCTGATTCTTGGCTGAGGGAGCCAGCATTGTCTGAAGACATTTTCTGTGGCCATGTGGCTAGTATGGTATATGCCAAAAGTGCATGGTTTGCTGTTACGTTCCCACCAAAGTGGTACCTATTTATCCACTCACATTTGCATGCTTTCAAACTGCTAAGTGGGCAGGAGCTCGGGCAAGGAACTGGAGCTCACACCATTGTGTGGCATTTGGGTCTCGAACCTGGGCTTTCCAGCTGATATGCTCAGTGTCTTTAATCACTGAGCCTTCACACCCCCTCTCATATATATTATGCTTGATTAAATATGAGCCAGTAGTGTGCTGCAGCTGCCAAAAAAGCCAACCAGTTTGAGGCTGTGAAGTGCTAATACACTTTATAATGCCTTTGGTAAGGCCACATGTGGAATATTGCATCCAATTTTGGTTGCCACAATGTAAAAAAGATGTGGAGACTCTAGAAAGAGTGCAGAGAAGAGCAACAAAGATGATGAGGGGGCTGGAAGCTAAAACATATAAAGAACAATTGCTGGAACTGGGTATGTCTAGTTTGATCAAAAGAAGGACTAGGGGTGACATGATAGGAGCGTTCCAATATCTCAGGGGCTGACACAAAGAAGAGGGAGTCAACCTCTTCTCCAAAGCATCTGAGGGCAGGACAAGAAGCAATGGGTGAAAACTAATCAAGGAGCGGAGCAACCTAGAACTAAGGAGAAATTTCCTGACACTTAGAACAATTAATCAGTGGAACAACTTGCCTCCAGAAGTTGTAAATGCTCCAACACGAAAGTTTTTAAGAAGAGATTGGACAACCATTTGTCTGAAATGGTATAGAGCAGTGATGGCTAACCTTTTTGCCACTGCGTGCCAAAAGCGTGGGGAGCGTGGGGGATTGTGCGCATGCCACACTCATAATTCTATGTGCCCTGCCCCCCTGCACATGAGTGCATGCCCCCCTGTACTCCCCCCGCTTTTGGCACGCAATGGCATGGTGAGTCCATTTTTCACCTTCCCCAGGCTCCAGAGGCTTTCTAAGAGCCTGGGGAGGGTGAAAACAGCCTTCCCAAACCCCCTGGAGGCCCTCTGGAGGCTGGAAATGGCCCGTTTGCCGACTTCCGGTGGGACCGGAAGGCCTGTTTTTCACTCTCCCCACGCTCCAGAGCCTTTCTAGGAACCTGGGGAGGGCGAAAACGGCCTTCCCCACCCCTCCGGAGGCCCTCCGGAGGCCGGAAACAGCCTGTTTCCTGACTTCCAGAAGTCGACAACTGAGCTCACGTGCCCACAGATATGGCTCCGCGTGCCACCTGTGGCACGCGTGCCATAGGTTCACCATCGCGGGTGTAGGGTTTCCTGCCTGAGCAGGGGGTTGGACTAGAAGACCTCCAAGGTCCCTTCTCTGTTATTCTATTCTATTCTAATCCTGGATTTGAATTCACTCGTTTTAAAGTGGCCGTGGTTGAGAAGCACTTATTGCAAGATACCAGATTGGGGAAAAGCTGCTGTAAATGCCAAACAGACAGTAAACCGGAGATCAAAAGCATGCAACTTACTTTAATGGAAACTTTGGTGTCTTTGTGGGCCAGTTTGAGGGCATTGTGGAAAACCTTCAGGTCTTCTTCCAAAGCCAAAGTGGCCGCTGGAAGTTTCTGCTGGTCGTGGTCTATGTGCTCAGCTAATTTCCCAGGCGAGTCAATGAAAATGAGCCTCTTGCTGCCTTTCAGGCCCGTCAGGAGCCGCTCATGGTACTTGGTGTATTCCCTCACCCACGAGTTGCAGTTGTAGATGAAGACGGCAGAGACGTTTTCGTAAGCGAATCCCGGGAAAACTACAAACCACTTGGACAGGAAGTCTGTTTTGAAACGGTTGCTGGGCCCGGCGTGAGTGAGGTCCACGACGATCTCGTATGGCTTGGCGTAGTAAGGCTTCAGCGTCAGCAAAACGTGATATATCAGCAGATCACCATTGATTTGGCCGGTCTTAAACCTAGACGGGGGAAGATAAATCACAATTATACAATCGATCGTAACAACGGAAAAGAAATAACAAGGGAAATCAAATGTCTTGATTTATTTATTTGTGAATTTATAGGTGAATTTAGTCAAGTGATTGTAAGAGGCATGCAGGATACAACACAGTAGTCCATCCTTTTGGCATGCCTCGGCTGCAATGAAGAGAATTGTTTTGGGCCACATATAAAATATCTAATACACAGTAGTCGATGTATATAAATCACATAATAATGTTAGAGGTTTATGAATCATGTAGGGTCACATTTACTAGCTGTCCAGGGCCATATGTGGCCTGTGGGTTGCCTGGGCTAGAACCAAAACAACAATAGTACAATAATATACACTAAAATCTAACCCAAAATATACATATGGCACAATTGATCCCAGAAGTAATAATTCCATGCCTGGTACTGAAAAAAAACACATATTCATGTTCCAAGCTGTCTGGAAAACTAAATTCTTATGAGTGTCTAGGAGGCTATAAATAAGGATAACTATCAATAAGAAGTTACATACTCCAGAAGTAGCATTCCCCAACCTGGTACCTTCTAGATTTGCTTAAATATAATTCCCAACATCCCCAGGCAATAGAGGTAGTCCTCAATTTACAACGGCTCATTTAGTGACTGTTCCAAATTACGATGACACTGTAACTATTTTTCACCCTTACGACCATTGCAGCATTCAGATGCTTGGCAATTGTCTCATACTTATGACAGTTTCAGTGTCTCGTGGTCATGTGATCCCCTTTTGCGACCTTCTGAGAAGCAAAGTCAGGGAAGAAGCCAGATTCACTTAACAACTGTGTTACTAACTTAACTTGGATCTGGTTAGTGCAATGTTGTCAACCTTAAAACTTTAGCTCCCAGAATTCCCCAGCAAACTCTGGGGATACCACCAGGAAATCCATGTAATAAGCATGACTTAAGCTGTTCTCACCTTATTTGTTATTTGTCTTATTTTTAAAAAGTATGTTTGAAAGCAAAACGGTCAACTGAAGAGAGTCCATTGGCTTGAGATGGGCGGCTATAGAAATTGATTGAACGAATAAATAAATAAAATACATGACAGACAGTGACAGGCGTTTGCAAACATGGATTTTAAACCTTTTATTAAACAGATGGGAATACGTAATAAGAACATGCTTGAAGAACAAGCAATCCAAAACAGTCTGTTGCAAAGCAAGGTAGAAAATGGCCTTCGGGATTTATTCAGGAGAAAGCCATTTGACATTCTGAGAGTAACCCTCCAAAGAGGGCTTAGGGCAGGGGTGTCAAACTCGTTTTCACTGAGGGCCGCATCAGGATTGTGTTTGACCTGGAGGGGGCCTGGGGTGTGTGGTCAGGGTGGGTGTGGCCAGCTCGACATCACTTGTGTCGGGGTGCTAGTGGTGGTCCGTGCACTCTGCCAGTGAAAATAGGCTCCTGAGCTCCATTTTCGCTGGCAGAAGCACTGGAGATCAGTCCTTTACTGTTTCCAGGACGGCCCCGTGGGCCACACCTAAGCACCCTGAAGGCCTGATTCGGTCCGTGAACTTTGAGTTTGACACCCCTGGCTTAGGGCATCACTATGGTGGGACAGGTCTAGAATAGGTATAGGTTGTATTGCAAAAGATCCATATATTCTATGCTTTATTGTAGCTTTCTCCAAGCACATGCCATCCATATGCACTGAGCTGCAACCCCACAATTCCCAGCAAATGACCATTTGTTGAACGAGGTTCTTCTCCATCTTGGGGAATGCTGTTCAAACAATATTAAAACATGCAGATCTACGAATTAGAAAGGATTATTATTGATCCTATAAAAAAAGATAAGGGTGTCCCTGCACATTTTACTCTACTAGTGGTTGCTGAGTATGGGGGAGGAGGTATTCACCTCTGTTTCAAGGCCATTGAGCCAACGCTGTCTGAAGACATTTCCGTGGTCATGTGGCCAGCATTATGTCCCGGAGTGCTGTTATCTTCCCATCAAAGTGGTACCTATTTATCTACTTGCATTCGCATGCTGTTGAACTGGTAGGTTGGCAGGAATTGGGGTGAGGACGGGAGCTCACCCCATGGCGTGGCACTCAGGTCTCGAACCTGGGCTGCTGAGTTTCCAGCTGACAAGCCCTGCGTCTTAACTGCTGAGTCACCACACCCCACACCCCCATTATTGATCCTATAATCTCAACGTATTACTTCGCTGTTCATCTGAAAATCTCTATGACAGAAGTGGCTTCAAAGATGACACACACTGACACACACATGCAGTTTTTCCACAAAATTCAATGATGAACACAGAACTTCGTCCAGGAGAAATAACATCAAAAGAATGACTCCATCAATGATCGAAAAATTGGGCCCATTGGACATTGTCAAACAAATCGGAAACTATCTCTCGGAACGAGTTCCACATGAAATCCCTCTTGAATTGTGTAGTCTGCAAATGTTCTCACATTACGCCCATGCTTAAACATGAGAATGAGGTCACTTATAAGAGCAGTGCTGTTGTAATTAAGTTAACTACTGGCATTTCACTTACAAGCCTGGCTATTTAATGAGATAATAATTCAGACGCTTAATTTGCTGGGAGCTGAAATGTGGTGTCGTGCTAGTTAATTGGATGTGTCCAAAAGCATCCAAATGATTAGAAGGGGATGGGCAGAAATATTTAGATACCTTCAGGATATCAACAAGTTCATTTAAAGCAGTTCTTCTAACCTAGTTTTAAAAGTTCACTCTTGTTTCAGGAGGAAGATAAGATCTTAAAGATATTTAATGCAACAGATTTTTGCAGATATTAACCAAATTTGGATTCCAAATCTGGAGGCATAAGTAGTACATTAACACTGGAATAGTTGAGGATCTCCTGAATCTTTTTTTTTTCCTTACAGTTTAAATAATGCACTCAGAATCTGAAAAAAGTTCTAGGATTAGAAAATTACTATTTTCTGACTAATCACAACCGGGGTGTAACACTTTTAAATGTACTTTTGCTGCCACAGCTGCACAAGATCAGAAATGTGTTTAGAAAGATTATTATCATTAACAAGATTCAGAGAGCTCATCTAATAAAAATGTACTCTCATCTTTCCCTGATTCTTTCAAAAGTATTTATTCAGAGGATCTTATGATTTAGGATCTTCAGTGTGTGCAGATATATTTGCCTGTGTATGTATGGGCCCTCTCTGTGTTTGCCCACAAGGCAAAGGTAGATAACATTGTGTGTGTGTGTGTGTGTGTGTCTGTGTGTGTGTCTCTCTCTGTGTGTGTAGATAGACAGACAAACATACCGTAGTTTATATACACTGTATGTAAAATTACCATTATCGGTGCCCAACCATCTGGTAGCCTCTGGCTAAGCAGGATTAGGTTTGGTTAATACTTGGATGGGAAACCATTGGAAATACTAATGCTGTAGGCTAGACTAGGGAAGTAAAAAATAAAATAAAAAAATCCCAAGAGACATGGCAAACCAGTTCCATGTTGTTGCCAAGAGAACTAGAGGCCCATGTCCATCAAATTACCAGGAGTCAAGCTGACTCAAAATAAGACTTTCATTTTCCCCCGTTAAGTAACTGGTTTCAAAAATGAAACAGAGTGAGACCTGGATAGACCGTGGTTAGGAAACCACCAGGAAATCCCAAGATGGCTAGACCAGAAATTGCAAAGACATTTTGGAAGAGGGTGACGACAAAACACTTCTTCATTTTTTGCCAAGAAAATTACAGGAAGATGTTCATGAAGTCAGGAGTTGAACATGACTCACGTCGAGACTTTATTCTTGAATCTCAGTTCTGTACGGACTCACAACAGAGTAGGTGATTTCTAATGTATTTGCTCTTCTTTCTCAGAGCAAAGTATCCATAAATGGTCACTACGGTACTGATAAAATTCAATTCCACTCAATGTAGCTACAATCACGTGGCATAAAAACAAAACAAAACAAAAACCCAATATTCTGAATCATTAGCCTATATTCTACCTGTCTTTTCTTAGGGAGCCTACTTCTAACACTTACCCCAAAGATCCTACATTTCTTTTTTTAAAAAAAATGTTTTTTAAATTTTTATTTCTTATGAGCATATTTAAGTGTACAGTCTCTTATCCATCATTAATCATCGATCATTCATCTTATCCTTTAACTTTCATTTTTATTTGTTCGGGGCTGCTCTTTTACCATTTGTTTTACTACAAACTTTCCTCTTCTCCTTCCCTTCTCTTCCTTCTTCTGTCCCTTTCTACTTTCTTCGTTCCTCCTCTCCTCTCCTCCCCTTCTACTTCCCCTCCCCTTCCCCCACTCCTCTTCTTCCTCCCTTTCTAACCCTCTCTCCTACTCTTCTTTCCCCTCCCTTTTCTTCCTCTCCTTTTCCCTCTCTTCTATCCCTCTCTCCTTTCCTCTCTTCTCCCCTCCTTCCCTCTCTCCATTCCTCTCTCCTTTCCCACTCCTTTGTTGTATCCATTTTCAATTTAATCTAGAATGGTATTTGAGCAGCCCCGAGATCCTACATTTCTTTTTCTCCTTCCATGCAACAGCTGGACAAGCTGTTGGTTTAAATATAATGCTGTTGGTTTACCTTGCACTGGGTGCCACCTATTCAATACCCCCATTTATCCAGATCAATTCTACTTAGGCGGGAAGCTAACTAACTAACATTGAGAGCCACTTTGGTATAGTGGTTAAGGTGATGGCCTAGAAATAGGGAGACTGTGAGTTCTAGTTCTACCTTAGACATGAAAGATGGTTTGGTAACTTTGGGCCAGGCACTCTCTCTTAGCTCAACCCACCTCACAGGGTTATTGTTATGGGGAAAGTAGGAGGAGGAAGGAGGAGTATTGTGTGTATTGAATTATTTAGAGAAATAATAAAGGCGGGATAAAAACAAACAAATAAACAAAATACATAAGGAGGACAAGGTGACACGCAGAATTCTTCAAAACCTGACATTTCTTGGCCTCAAGTTAGTGAAATGTATATTTAATTTATTTAA